AAAAAGAAATCTCTCTTAAAAAGAAAAGCTGAACATAAAAGTGATGTAGTTGCATGATATGCTGTATGTACAGCAGAATGCAGTTGCTCTGAACACATACATCCCTCAAGTCCAATGTTCGTGGTCAAAAAGCCTGTTGTTAATTGGGTTTTCTTGAAAAGGAACAGAAGTTAGGTTTACATTCGTGTTTCTCACCTAAATGCAAAGTGGCCCGTCTCTAACATTGCATTGTTTACATGCATTTTGTTGGCAGATGAAAATATTTCTTGGTGTGTTACCACCTGCACACCAAAGGAATGGTGTGAAACCATTGGCAGGAATGTGCTGTGTGAAGAGCCTACACACTGATTTTATGCTCCACAGAATTCTTTTTATTCAGGCCAAGCTGCCGCACCACTGCCGTTTTGACATCATGTCTTCATCAGCGTTTGCTCTGACCTAACTTGATGACTGATGTCAGGTACGACAGCACAACCCTGGCCAATCAGCTCGAAGACAACAGCACAGTAACAGTATGACCCCGATTTTCTCATACAGCATTTTCTTACACATTTTCACTCACCACATTACAATACAAAAACACAAACACACATCTATACACTTTAAAAAACTGCCAAGTCCTGTTATGAATATATTACAGAATTAGTGGAATAAATTGTGATTGGGCCAACAATCACAGGTATCCAATAGCGCAAAAGGTTTTTCAGTCCATACCCGCCTTTGTGACCACTAATAAATATCAAATCCTAGTCAAAGATCCAGATCATAAACGTTATAATCAAACATAACCTTCAGCCTACAGAAAAGGGCTAATGTCAAAGTCCTCATTCGGTCCATGTGGAGACTATGTTTGTCTAAATCTGATGTTGCTCTCTTTGGAGACGTTTCTTCACTAGAGGAATGCCTACTGCGTCAACCACACGTGTTTGACAAAAACAACTAGAACGGGGACTCCCACCATCGCTCCATAGCACTGGTAATGGTCAAAAACCTCTCGGGTTACATTTAAAGCACAGGCTGGAGAGTATTCTGACCCGGTGTGCACCCAGTCTGGGGGAATGCTACGCCCTTGGGGGTAAACTAGGAAATTAGAATTATTACTTGTGTACCTACACCAGCGACAGACCAGGAATGGGACAGACATGAGGTCACCTTGACCTATGACCACCAAAATCTAATCAGTTTTCCTCAAGTCCAAGTGGATGTCTGTGCCATTTGAAGAAATTCCCTCAAGGTGTTCCTGGGATATCATGTTCACAAAATGGGACAGACCCAGGGGAAAAGAAAATGAGGAAAGAGTTCACAAAAACAGTCTTCTCATGGTAATGCCCATGTTCATGGCCATTCATCTGGTCTCTGTCTTATAGATGCAATTGCTCCACATCTACAGTATAATTCACAATTTTTTGATCCGGAAACATTTTGAAACATTAATTACTGAACTGCAGGATAGAAATTTGGAAATTTCACTGGATTAACTGCTAGCATAACCTTTCTGTACTGAGCCTTTAATATGTTTTACAGTAGGTACGTGGACTGTCTTTGTTGTGTCTTTACGTCGGGTCCTCCAGTCTGATGCTGACCAAAGTGGATGGTTTGGGACTTTTCTCCTAGAGAAGCTCAGCTGACTCGCAGGGATTTAAAACCTCCCTCTCTCACACTGACTCTTTACTGTCTCTCACTCCCCCCTCCCTCCTTGCTCTTTAATCGCTGTGTTGTGGCGGTGGCGCTCTCTCCTACTTCGCCTCTCCAGGCTGTATATAAATGTGGATGGATGGCTTGTGTTTCATACTGACAGAAGGAATGAGCGCGGGCTTGTTGGATGTACGGTGCTGTGGGCCACCATGACCCCTGTGGCGACCCTGAAGAGGACACCCCCCCACTTCTCAGACTGCTTGTTGGTCGGTATGCAGCATCTATAGGTGAGCTGCTAAACTCTGGTACCAAGTTTCTAACAGCTTGTTTCATTTTCTGCAACTTTTGTTTTGCTGCACACAGAGGACAATAAAGTGTATTTTTAGACCCAGAGGGAAGCTGCAACTCTCGGCGTCAGTATGGTTTGACCATCTGTTTTGTGTGATGCGGGGGGGGCTTGAGCCAAGTATGTTTGCTCACCCTTAACAATACCCTTGTGATGGCTTTTTTTTTTTTTTTACCATAGATTTGCCAATCCATGCAAAAGGTGGGGTGGGAGTTTGGTATAGTTTGGAGTTTGGTTAGTTTTTGAATCCTTGTGTTATTGGTTTAAAATTCAATAAATGTTCAATTACAAAATAAAACAAAAAAAAAAACCATGAGCGGAGAAAGGTTTTTCTATTTGGAAATTGGACGCACAGCGGCACATTTTTAAGCCTTTGAGAAATGGTTTACCCAACAGGCATTAATGCCCTGCTCAGAAGCTGCACATTAGCTGTGATGGAGACATTAAAAGGTCACATTTAGGTGGAGTTTCAGTCAACTAGTAGACGCTGTGACCCATAACAACTCACAGTAAATAGTCAGAAAAGCCGACAACACAGGATCTTTGACAGCAGAAAAATTAAAGCTGATCACAGCTGACTATAAAAAGGTCTTTGCTGGTGGGAGCATGTTTTTTCCGTCTGCTTTCCACAGAGAGACATCGGGCTACAGTGTCTAGAGCTAAAAATCAGAAGCTGAAGCTGGGAATCTTGGTGATCTGACAGGACTTCAGGACTGTGAGGTGGCATGAGTTCAGAAAAGAGGTGTTGCTGCTCAGCCTTCAGGTGTTTCAATTAGGAATAACGTGAGGATTTACAGCAAATTGACATCTTATAATAACTGATGCACAATGAGGCCAGATCAATACATCGCCACCACTGATACCAGTGGCCGATTTAATCGGAGATGTATCAGCCAGTGGCGGAAGAAGTATTCAGTTCATTTACCCAAGTATCAATACAATGATTTAAAAATCTAGGCTTTCTAGGCTGAGGAGAAATTAGGTAGAGTAGCATTAATAAGCAAATCGTCATCGGTGTGTGAATGTGTGTGTGAATGGGTGAATGGTGTATAATCTCCTGTAAAGCGCTTTGGCCAGTGTAACACACTGTGAGAAAGCGCTATATAAAATACAGTCCATTTACCATTTACCATTACCATTTACCAAATTAATCAAAAATATTTCTGCATCTTATAATATGCGTTTATGTAAAAACAATTGGACAATATTTCACTTAATTTTGATTGTATATTATTTTTTTACTCAAATACTGATAATGTATCTGCCTCAACAAATCCAGCATTGCTCTAGCTTATTGTATATGTGTATTATCAGTAAGCAAGAGCCAAAATAAACATTTCATCAAATTTTATATATCAGCAGCATCTTGAGATTTACTGATGTTATACAAAAATCTGCACAGGATCCAAAAACTTTACCACAAAAATCATCTATTGTTCTCCACTTGATAAATGGGTTGCGCTAACAGGAAGTCGTAATGAATGGGTAGAGCTCTGACATCAAAACAGTAAAGGCCATCAGGACAAACAAAGATCCATAAATAGTCACTCCTTTGAAAAATGTGGATAGAAAACAGCGATTCTGCCTGCCTTCATCATTTTCAGTCACATTTGTTTTGCCTCGTCTGCCTCTGAAGTCATCCATCTGTTTTCTCCATCGGACAAATTCACCCCAAACCCAAACTCACCAATCGTTTTCACCCTGGCAGAGTGATTTCCCACTGGGTGCTACGATTGGCTTTGGCTCTGCTGAGTGGAAAGACTTCCCGTTCTCCAACTTTCATTTTCAGGCTCTCCTGTGATGAACATGAATCATGCCCACATTCAGTCATTATTACAATCCTCTTTGCTCGGGTTAACTGAAGCATCACACTGACTCCTCTGCATGCTGGCCTGATAAAACAGACTCTGTGCACACTCACACAGTGCCCAGATATGATTTCTTTGGATGAAGAGGAGCTTCAGTACGTCGCTGTTTTCTGACTAAGCTATTTTGTGATGCCAGTAAGAAAGTGATGATGTTTGAACAAAGGGCTCCCCTGACTGTATTTGCTTTCTTTATGCAGCCATTCTATGATAATCATTTTTAAGCTCAGTGAGGCTTTTCCAGTTAAATAAATTCAATTGGAGCTACTTGTTAGAAAACAGCCGATTCTATTTTGCTGCCACATTCTGTCGTTGGCAAACACAAACTACAATTAGAAGAATTAACCCATGAAGAAGTAGTGACAGGGATGGGCAGTATCCATTGTAAATTAAGATGGTTTATAGGAATACTAGAGGAAACTCTCCATGATTGACTGGTATAAGAAGCAGAATCAAAACTTAGCAGGAAGGATGTCCAGTGTTCCATCATGCCACCAGTTTTCAGGTTGAGTTCCCTCTTTCCAGGAACCATCCCACTTCATGCAACATGCAGACGTCTTGTTTGTAGATGTGTCTGTTCAGTTATTAGCAGTATGACAAATCCAGTGCTTTCATGTTGTTTAAAGTGCTCACATAGTCAGAATTTGACTGAGTGAGCAGTAATGTGGTGGCGTCCGGACAGTGTTGGAACACAGCTTCATGACAGATGGAGTAGACGAGGGAAACTGTTATTTTGGCTTCTGGCCCTTGGACCTCCATCAGGGGTTTGGCTCGACCCAGGACATGCTTCTCCTTCTCTTGGCATCTCTGAATGTTCTGTGTTCTTGTGTTTCTGTCCTCTTAGAAATACCTCCATCAAACTGTCAGCTTCATTTATTCCCGAGTTCAGATACTTTCTTTGTGCATGAAATTCACTCATTTTCCTCAAGTAACTGGTGTAAAATGAGCCTCTTTGAGGTTGCTGAGGTTGTACGGCAGCACTCAGATCCACTCACCAAAGATAGAAACTGGCTTTACCTACAAAGAAAAACTCCCAGGAAGACAAAGAAAAGAAAGTGCTGTGATTACAAGCCATAAAATATAAGAGCAAAATGAAAACACTTCATAGGATTTCTAAAAAATTCACAGCTGGAAAACATGGCCCAGGGCTGTAATGCTCACAGATGGAGACAGCAGTAAAACTGATGTTTATCTCTATGGCCATAAAGCCCTGGATGAACAGTTTGAGGTAAATAAACTCACTGAACAGGAACAATATAATAACTAAAGATGAGATTTCTGCAGATGAGCCAAAACATTTCACAGACAGAGCTTTGGGTTAGTCTGGTGTGGTGAAATGCTACTAACGGCGATGCTACACAAAACATCCAAAGTTCCACCACAATGGGAGCCGTTCTCTGAGGCCCATGCACTGTGTTCAGATGACACTTTACCGCAGATGACTTCTCTGTCTCTCTCTTAGGATGACTGACAGCTGCACCTCTTGAACCCCAGCATGCCTGTGGTGCTACTGGGCGGGGCATCCTCCTCCCACCATGTTGTACCTGTTGCCCTCACTTGCTCCTGGGTTCTGCTGCTGTTCCACGCCACCTTCGGTCAGAAACCTGCCAAGCTACCTCTGATCAGCCGGAAGCCGTTCATTGCTGCCTGGAATGCCCCGCTGGACTTGTGTGCCATGAAGTACAACATCACCACTAACCTGGACCACCTCTTCCACATCCACGGGAGCCCACGTGCTAATTGGACAGGCCAGAACGTCACCATCTTCTACGCCAACCGACTGGGCTACTACCCCTATTACACCCTGCAGGGCGCTGCCGTGCATGGTGGCCTGCCCCAGAACTGCAGCCTAGACCTGCACCTTTTCAAGGCCTACCAGGATATCAACCACTTCATCCCTGCAGAGGACTTCCGCGGCCTGGCCGTCATCGACTGGGAGTTCTGGAGGCCTCAGTGGAGCCGTAACTGGTACAGGAAGGACATCTACAGGCAAAAGTCTAAGGAGCTGACAGAAAAAGCATACATTAATGTGACGGCAGCACAGGTGGAAGAGCTGGCACAGCGGCGGTTTGAGAAAAGCGCCCGGTTGTTCATGCAGAGGACCATCCAGCTGGGGACACAACTTCGCCCCAATGGGCACTGGGGCTTCTACCTCTACCCTGACTGCCACAACTACAACCTGCATGAGCAGAACTACACAGGCTTCTGCCCCCTGCTGGAGAGGTTGGCGGCTGTGGCTGGTGAACAGCAGTACAGCGCTCGTTCCCTCGGTGGCGATAAGTAAAAGTCATACCAACAGCGTCATCAACCTGCACTTCTCCCAGCACAGGATCCAAGAGGCGCTCCGTGTCTCCTCGCTCACCTCGAAGGACTATGACCTCCCCACCTATGTATACCTGAGGCTGGGATACCGAGACGAAGCCCTGTCCTTCCTCACCACAGTAAGAACGACATTTCTAACAGTGGTATAGCTGTTTTAAAGAATAAGGCTGGTGATTTTCTATTTTTTGATTATTTTTAAAACACCAGAGACTAAATCCTACAATGAACTTTGTGTACTCACTTTAAATGGTTTAGCCTGTTGTGCAAAACTTAGAAAAACACACCAGTGAGCCTCAGAAAACAAACAAGGGCTTTTTCAAAAAGTGCTCAAATGGCTAGAAAGACTCTACAGAACTGCATGATCATGCATTTTCTGTTTACACTGCTCTGCTAGCTTCTCGCTATGTTATGTGTAGCATAAGAAGTAGTGTAAACAAAGCTGAGACACTGACTGTATAATAACACAGATGATGTGTCATCACTTCCTGTCACTATGCAAACGCAAAAGTTTTGTGAATATGGTGATGGCCATTTTGCTTTTGAGACACATTTTGCAACCAGATTCTGCACAGTGTGCTAACATCTAGCTTAAATGACAGAAATCACCTTTAGGAAAGATTCACCTGATTGGTACAAATTTTAAGTTTGGCTCATGTCCCATCTGCCGACATGGGGCGGCAGTTTTTATGACCTATACTGCAGTCAGCCACCGGGGGCAACAGACTTGTGCCTTCAATTCTGCAAGCTGTCACGTTGTTCATCTTTATATAAAGTGTAGGAATAGAAACCGCACGGCTGTGCAGTCGACTCTTACTTCTGAGACTGTACAGTGATGTCTGTTCTCACATCTGTATGAGATTTATGAAAAATTACCTAAATACAGAAAATCACTGGTTTGGGGATGTTTAAATTGTACGTCGGTGCTCTAGTTGTAATAACAAATGAAATAATCTCTGTATAATCTCTGATTGTGATTCAACAGGAAAAAAAAACTATGATGTAAACTCTCACTAAAAATTTATTTTTTTAAACTATTCTAATAACCTATAAAGTACATGTGCTTTTATAAATATACATGCAATATATAAAACATCTTAACACAAAAAATTAGAGATGGATTTACATATAACTGGCGTTAACACTCCAAGAATCATGTCAGCTCCTCAATGCCTACACCTTCAGGCATTTTGCAACTTGTTGTAAAATGATGTTACTATGTGTTAATGTAAAATATAATAATTTATATAAAAATTTTTGTGTTCCACACCATACCATTATACTGTTTGGTGTCTTCATGAAGACAAAAAGAAATGCATCCATTTTATTTGAAAATTTTCCGATCTCTACTGTGATGCAACGTGGTTACACTGCTGACTCACTACTGCCACCCAGTGTAGACCCACAGCTGCCGTGGTTTCCAAAGTGGCACTAAAACCAGGAGCAGGAAGCTTTCTGTGCTGATGCTCATCCAGGTAGTAAAGTAGAATAAAATCAGCAGCACCATCTTGTGGTTCTGTCATATAGTTGTTCTTTCTAGTCACATGAATATATTTATATTATAATCAATTTGTTTATCTTTCTGTGCTGATTTTCAATAATTATGCCATTACTAATACATTTGATCAAAAGATGAATACTATATGCCATGTGATATAAATTATTTATATATGATAAATATTCTGAACAGCAGCAGCCTTTTTGTTTAAGTTTTGTTCCTTGATAATTTCACTTGATGCTTTTGGATTCATTAAAATCCTTGAAAAATCCCGACTGTTCCCTTATTGTTTTGGGCTTCATGCAGATCCAGAAGCAAATCTTTCCATCTCTCAAGGTTTTCAGTCTTCTGTGTTGTTTCAGTATGGCTGATCATTAATGTGCTATAGTGACAGAAACAGTTGAGACGTGACGTCTGTACATGTGTGTTTCCTGCAGAAAGACCTGATCCACACCATTGGGGAGAGCGCTGCTCTGGGAGCTGCAGGGTTCGTCATCTGGGGTGACCTGAACCTGACCTCATCCAGGGTGGGTGTCTTTTACCTCTAACCAGGCCAAAAAATATCTTTACCCTCTTACTTTCTGTGAAAGAGGAAAAGATCTTCTGAAACTCTGATAATTCATGGATACACGCTAAATATTTAAACACAGGTCTGATGTGTTGTTTTGGCAGAAAATCTGCTGTCAATCTTTTGTTCCACTGTGGCGTCAGATGGAGTCTGGCTGCGTATTTCTATGTAAAAAAAAAACATTCTCCCCTCCAGATTCTTAATTTGTGTTGGGCTCCAGACAAACCACTGCTGTATAAAGCCAAACAATAGAAAGTTGAAACCATGTGGTCGCTGTATGCTGTGGAAACTACTCTGGCATTTTAAAAAGTATGATGCACACATTTTACAGGCTGCTGTGATCCTGTCTGCATGGAACCGGTGCATGATGTGCAGCTGCTTTTCAGAAAAATGCAATGCAACTACAATCTTAGTCAAATGCCAAACCTGAGCATCAGTCTTAGTCTAACAGTGGCTCTTTTCTTGTCGGTTGCTGGTAGCAGTTAAAGCCACTAGGGCCAAAACTCCACAACAAGCTGACAGACACACAGCTCTGACACATCACCACCTTATGGTGAACTATTAAAACAGAACAGCCGAGTCATGCCAAGGAGTTTGGACAGGTCAGATATTAATTTTAGTTCTGGTCTCCACAGACTCCTGAGAAAACTATCTGCCTCTCTATCTGCTAAATATGCCACTTTCCTCACCAGCTAGTCTCTAATTGTGTATGCCTGCTGTTCCCGCAGGATAACTGCACCAAGGTGAAGTCCTTCCTCAGCCACCGCCTGGGTCAGTACATTATCAACGTGACGCGAGCTGCCGAGGTCTGCAGCGACTTCCTGTGCCAGGGGAATGGCCGCTGCGTCCGTCGGGACCCCCACGCACCCCATTACCTCCATCTGAGTGCCGACAGTTACCACATCCAGGCTTCTGGTGACGAAGACTTCACCGTCACTGGTTGGCACTTGCAGCACGAACTGCAGCTCCTCACTGAGAGGTTTCGCTGTCACTGCTATGAAGGACACGAGGGCAAAAACTGCGACAGCATCAACAAAGTGAAGGAGGATGACGTGCTGTGGAGGGAAGAAGAGGAAGAGCAGGAGCAGGAGAGGAGGAGGATGGAGTGGGAGGGTGAGCAGGGTGAACA